CAACAACAGGGATACGATTACGGCGTCGGTCAACAGCGTGCTCCAAAGGTGTCGGTGATCGAGAAAAACGTACCGGTACCGGTACGCGTGGACGTGGTGAAACCAGTGCGGTACGTGGTACAGGTGCCGGTGGACCGGCCGCGCCCGGTGCACGTGCCCAAGCCGTATCCGGTTAAGGTGGAGAAGGATGTGCCGTATCCTGTCAAGGTGTACGAGCCGCAGCCGTACCCGGTGGAGAAGGACGTGCCGGTGGCCGTCAAGGTGCCGTACGACCGCCCGGTGCCTGTGCACGTCGACAAACCGTATCCCGTGTACAAGGAGAAGATTGTCCGATATCCGGTGTACAAGCAAGTGCGCGTGCCTGTCAAAGTGCCGTACGACAGGCCGGTGCCCGTGCACGTTCCCGTCGTCAAGAAAGTGCCGTTCCGGGTGGAAAAGCCCGTACCCGTGCCCGTTAAGGTGCCATACATCAGACCGGTACCATACAACGTGTACAAAAATGTGCCCGTCCCGTACGAGAAACCTGTCCCGTATCCGGTCGAGAAACACGTGCCTTATCCGGTCCGAGTTCCGGTCCACGTCCCCGTCCACGTACCCGTCAAGATCGAACGACATCGTCAACAAGCACATCAACTACAGCATCACGACCACTACGCGCAGCAACATCAACCGCAACCCGAAAAGTTCACCCATCAAGACGCCGTCGCAGATTTTGGAGGACACCACCACCACCACCAACAACAACAACAACAACAACAAGAGCAGCAACAGCATCACTTTGTCCCGGGCTTTAACTCGCAGCACAGCCACCATCATTCGTCGTTCTGATGGCTTGCGACACGATGACACTTTGATCGGGAATAATGATTTAATCGAAATCGTTTCGTCTTGTATTTTTAAGTAATTTTTTATTTTTTTTTTTAGTACGTAGGAACCTATGTATCCGAAACCTGTAAATAATTACTGTATAATAATAAAAATATAAATTCGTGTAAATAATACTACCGTATACTACCTATACATGATGAGAAAATATAATATTATTATCAATTTGTTGTTGAAATTTATCGATTTACATCGAAGTGGCCGCAATATCGCATGTAAGTTCCCGTACAGATACTGCTGCAGTCTACGTTCCATCGCAGTAGGTACATCTATACTGCAGTATGAGAAATGGACACATGAAACTCGTAATTTGTAACCTTGTAAGCAGTGTCTCGAGTGGTTTTGTTAGAGGACGTTTATATTAATGTCCATATTAGATGGACTTCTGAGTTCTGACAGCCGATAATCTTTTTAAATCATGTAGTAAAATATATGCATAAATACATTATATGAAGAAATGTTTTAGTTAATCTAAATGATTACAGAAATTCAATTTTCAAAAAAAATGTCTAATGTATAGTCGACCTCACGGATAATAATATAATATATACTAAAATACATATACCTATATATTATAAATATATTATATTATCCGAGAGCCGACCCGTCAACGTGGCTATATAGGATTTTTCTTTTTAATAAAATCAAAAAATATTTAATTAATTATTTGTTGTTCAGATTTTGAACAAAAGTTCAAATTTTTCTTAGAGATATCAGGAAAGTTTAAAGAGTAATTTGAGCAACGTTCGAAATTATATTGGGTGCCATATCCAATCTGACACAGGCAAATCGCTCATTACAATTGAATTAGTTAATCGAATGGCAAACGAGATACACCGATGCCGATTTGTCTATGAACTAAGGTAGATACTAGATTGGTACGTACCTATATAAAACTGAGATACGCCAATGTAACACTGTATTTTTGGCTGCATACAAATTGCGTCCCTAATATAAAATTGCGATTTGTGACATACTAATCGCGTCCCGGGTTTTCTATACTAGGTACTATACTAATTGCGTCTCGATAATATTTAAAAACTATTAGGTTCAATTACACGGACAACAAATAGCTGTGAAGCTTTCCATTCAAAATTTAACTGTATGTTTTATTCTGCTCATTCAAATATCTACGGTTTTATTTATACACTATAGTAACTTACAAAAAGATACTTGCATAAAATTTCGCAATTTATTCAAATAAAGAAAATAAGACGTGAAATGATTAAATACCACGTGAACGAAATAACACGGTTGGTCCGTTTTGATTTTGTCAAAACTGTATCGTTCAAATTTTTCTGAGCCATAAATAATATTATAATTAGTAATTACATATATAGGTAACTTATATTTTTACTATTTTTTATTTATTCTTTTATTTTTATATTTAACGAGAAAAACAATATTTTTGATGTACATATTTATGAAACAATAAAAATCAATATTTTTAACCTTGAGCAGTATAATATTTATAATATTTATTAAATGTTGCTATTGAATCTTAAATGGGAAAGAAAATAATGTATTTACATCGGACGCGATTAGTATAGTTGTTTAATATTATCGGGATGCAATTATCGTTTGCGCCGTTATTTTAGGTTTGTTCATTTTTTTCCTGTAAAATTGGGTTAAAAAATTTGTAATAATATTTAGCTAATTCAAAATATATCAAAATAATATACAGCCGTTATTACAACCTTTATCGCTCAACGCACTGCTTAATTTTAATTAGAGTACCTACTTATTGATATAAAATAGAATTTGTTCTAATTTAATTTCTTATGCTTTTTACACTGAGAAGTAATGAGAGCCGAGTGAATGTCGATTGCCGCGTGTGATGCATTTGTTGAGCTATAACATTTAGCATATTATATTTTATGTTTAAAACGATTAGAATAAATTATAAACAATACTGACTACTAAAACTGTGACTATTATTTATTATAGGGTTCAGACTTTTAGTTTAAAACAGTTAAAGTATGATACTATAATCCAAAGATTCCTATAAAATATTCTCCTTGTGTTCATTAAAATGTATTAAAAATATGGATTTTCATGCAAAAATTATCAAACAATAAAAAAACTTAAATATGCATATTTTTAATTTTTTTAGAAAAAAAAAATTAATTATTAAAAAGGGAAAAGCTATTATTATAAAAATAGAACAGAAATACATTTATTTAACTATACTTGCTTAGTTGTATTAGACTTTATAGTTGTTTTTAACCAATTGTGGATATTTATAAAAATAAAAATAATAGATATAAAAAATAAAATCGTTAGAATTCTATTGTCTAGATATAAAGTATCATCGAAATTCAAGACCATCACTCTACATCCCGTAACTAAGTCTGGCACTTGCCATAATTAATCCCGTCTTGGCATCTTTGACTACTGGTAAAAGGTCCCACGCAATCATATTCATACTTATTGGTTTTGTGTAGAGAATTTATATTAGTGAAAACATAAATAATGTTCTATGCGCTCGCCTAATTTTATTTTCTATCATTAATTGTAATTATTTTTCAACCAAAAATTTTACTGTAAATAAACACACAAATAAAATGAATCCTGTAAAAATAATATTTCTTTATTTTAGTCAAATAAAAAATAAAATTAATTATTTATACAATCTTATAAATTATACTTATTATTAACGCATAGTAATATAACATATTATATTTATTATATTTAGGTAATATATAATATATTATTATTGCTATAGAAAGGTATTATAATGATTAAAATATAAAAATAAAATGAATGTAACTGTGACTGTCCGTCCTAGGTAGATAAATACAAAACTCACAATCAAATTTAATTCAGCAGAAAAGTAGAACACTGATCAGCTAATAATGGATTTTGCAGATGAGTTATGGAAGATATTATGTTTAGGGTGATATCTTGATGAAAGATTCTCTATGACATGGCTGGTCTGATTCCCACAGTACTGCGTCCACATACGATGTGAGCCGGGCGATCAGTGGTGCCCTGAACTCGTTTGGCGCGTCCTCCCACACCATGTTCATGGCCCGCTCAGCCACTTTTATTTTATCACCCTCAGACAGCTGTTTTAGATCATCCTTTACTCTAAGTTCCAGCAAATACATGGCCTTTGCAATTTTTGGATTTATGGTATCACATAAAGGATGCAATGTCTGGGCCAACGGCCATGGTAAATCTTGCAAGTTCTCCACTACCAGCACATTGTTTTCCTCAAGTGGCTTATTTAACTAAAAGACAAAAAGATCAATAAATTAAAGCAGCTGGAGACTAGAAAATCGTAAATTTAAAAAATAATAAAAATTTTAACAAATATATAGTTTTAAGGGTACCTACACAAGTCATATGCTATCTACAACAAAATGACTTCTTTTGTTGTATGCTATCTATGCAAAATAATGTATTCTGTACTTACCTAAATATTTTTATTGGAGCTTGTAGTTTTACAGTTTTTATAAAAATTATAATTTTTTTATACAAATACATCTTAAAAATTTTCAAATACATTAGTTGGATGGACTGAATGCCACAATATTTCCTGTAATTGCCTTTTAAGTAGGTTTGTTGTTCCATATGATCTAATACTAAATTTTTCTTTTACATGTCTCCCTTAACACTCAATTGTCTGTGTTTAAGCATTTTTAAGTGATTTCATGAATATCTTGCAATGGGAAAATGTGTAGATAACTTTATTAATATAGATAGCATATGACACCAATAAATTTACTGTAAATAGCATTCGAAACATGTACTGTTTAAAGCATAAAAACAAGCTCTAAATAATATGATTTAATAATTATATTATTACATTACAAATCAACCTTAATTCAATTATCTTATTGAAAAATAAACCTTTTTCAGTATTTATAATGAATATAATACAAAAGAAATTGAAAACAAAATCTTAATGATTGGTACTAAGGTTTCATGAGGATCTGATTTGTTACTCAGATTATTTAATTTAAAACGTGTAGTAGTCTAAATCTGTTTAATCCAGAATTTGATTTAATTGTGATGTTAAAGAAAACAGAAAAATTATGTAGGAAAAACGAGTTAGTTAATTCTAGTCTTTCAATTATTGTTTCAATAATAAAAAAAATAAGTTCATACTTTGTGTAAATAATTTAGTTTTTATAATCTAGTCACAGTAAATAAAAAATCGATTTTACATACAGAATAATCTATTCTGTGGTATTATAATGAATAGTCAATTGATAAGAATTTTATATTAATTGCTTTAAATATTGGTATAACTGTTAAATATTATATTACCTTTTCGTACAGCAAGTCTTGATGATTGAAGTCTGAATAACTATTCCATTCTGACCCGTTCATCCATAAACTTTTTTGGGAATTAGTGAATAGATATTTTTTTGCTGAAAAACTTGCATACGATGCTAAACAGTCAGTAGTCTTTTTGTTTGTGTCATCATGTAAAAGCATGAAAACAATTGGTTCACCTGGCTTTTGAAGCCGCGAAAAAGCACCACTTAATTTGTTTAATATGCTCCGCTGCAATGATGGAAATTGACTCTTTAATAATAACAGTGTAGACTTCAATTTATCTTCACTCAAACCATTAGTGTTAGAAATGTTCGTATTTAAAAAGTTTGGTAAAAGGATTCCTAACACTAAGAATACTGTTACTAAAATGATCTGAAATTTAGTCAAGATATTTCTAGAAGCACCAGCAGTCTGGGCATGTGATCTCATTTGATCTGAAAAAAATATTAAGCGTCAAAATATAATAAGATTTTGTCATAAATTAAAAGTTTTTTAGAATAACACTTCTAGTTTTTGGCTGCGCATATTTTTATTATATCTATATAATTCATGTATCTAACTATGAAGTGGTAGATTAATAGTTTTGAGATGAAAAATGTTTAAAAACATATTAATGGTAAATTAATTTTTTTACTAGGTATTTTATTAGTAGATAACAGGAAAACATTCTCATAATTATTATAAAATGTCAAATTAATCAATTTTTTACAAACAGACATTGGGAAAGGCAGAAATCTTCAAATCTCAGAGGCTTGAATTTAATCAACTTTTTGAAATTAAATGGAAAATAAACAAAATAAAAAAATATGTATAGTAATTTTTTACATAACATGGTTTTGTTTACTATCGTAGAATGAATCAATAAAAATGATGGGCTATTATAAATCTTAGTATACCTAGATAACCTGTATATCAATTACAAAACTTTCAAACTTTTATGTTTTTAATTTTGAGTAACAAAAATAACTGTTATCAAATCAATTAAAGTTGTATTATAAAGTAAAACCAAGCATAAAATTTACATAGAAATCAATTAATTGCATATTTATTATTGAAATATAATAATATACTCACTATGATTTTTATATTTCATATTTTGCCATTTTAAGGATCGACATCTTACACACTGGTCACGAACTAAATCAGGATCTTTTTTGAAGTTTTTTAAAAATTCTTGAAAATCTTTGTAGTCACCATAATTTGTCTTCATTTGTTCAATAAACTCTGGACTATAATCATTAACTATGGTTTCACATGAGGAACACTGCAATCAATTAAAACAATATTATGATTATTAATGATTTTTAAAGTTATTATTGAACATTTTTTCAAATAATTAGATTTGATTGATATTTTACAATGCTTAGGTATGTAAAAAACATAGAATTAAATATTAAATACTTAGAAGTACCTACACGATCTACATAAATCATTGATCAAAACAAATAAAGTAAAAAAAAGTGTACTCACTTTTAGCTCAGTACTTGATATTTCCATTTCAATTCACTACAAATATATATTCAATAGTAGGAATTCGTACCAACAAATTATTTTGGCAGGTTTATAAGAAAATTTGTTGTCAGCTTAATACCTACTGAAAGGCGACTATTTACAATAAACGATATTTTCAAGTAGTTAATTAAACGAATTAGACTTGAAGTTTTCTATTACTGATATTTTCATTGTGGTAAGTGATGATTTAAGACTTTAAAGAAATCTAAAATATTGCAAGTTCAGTGATCAGTTTGATTTTTTTTTATTAGTTCTGTTTCTGTGTTAATAGTTATTAGGATTACTGATATGATAGATACTGTAGTTAAATTATCACAGAATACTGATAAGAGAGTAAAATCAAAATACCGCATAAATATGTTTTACCTAGATAACGAATTATTATTATTAATAATTATTAGTAAAGTTATTAATTCTAATTAATTTCAATACTTCACTTATCTGTACAATAGTAAATAAACTTAATTAAACTATTCAGTAGTAATGGTCATATGAGCCCGATTTTTCATTTAATACAGTAAATACAAATGATATAAATAACAGATTTCTGAAAAAAATGGATCCTAACATTCCTAATCGTAAGTTTTAGAATAATTTTTTTCTGTTATACATTTATTTGATAATAAGTAATATACTTAAATTTATTATATTATATCTATAAATTTTAAATACCAACTGAAACTACTTGTCTATTCTTTTATGGACTATGATTCGTATGTTTTGAAATTTTTAGATTGTCCAGGTACAAATAGCTCATCTGCCGGTCAAGTATCTGCATGTCAAGGATGTCCAAATCAAAATATTTGTGCTTCTGGTGTAACTCAACTTCCTGACCCAGGTTAGTGAAAATATATTTTAAGTTGTACATTTTTTTAAATGTAAATTTTCTGTTTTATTTTTGACCATTTAGCTTTAGATGTATTAAAACATCGACTATCTTCAGTAAAGTATAAAATACTAGTACTATCTGGTAAAGGTGGAGTAGGCAAAAGTACATTCACATCATTATTAGCTAGAGTATTAGCCAATGAAAATGAACAAAAAAATGTAATTATATTGTTATAATACACATGTAAACAATCTGATAATTTAATTATTTCTAATTGTTTTAATATTTAGATTGGAGTGTTAGATGTTGATATTTGTGGACCATCGCTTCCTCTTGTGTTTGGAGTTCAAGATGAAAATGTTTGTACTTTGTTTATTAAATAATTTTAGATAACATTTTAATCAATTTATTTTATTTCTAGATACATCAAAGTGGATCAGGATGGTCTCCTGTGGTAAGAATAATAGTAAAAATATTTATTTTAATATCATTTAATTGTTAATAAAATTAATTCTAATGTATTTTATTTTATATTACTATTTTAGTTTATTGAAGAAAATTTATCTATCATGTCTGTTGGGTTTTTGTTAGAAAGTAAGGATGATGCTGTAATTTGGAGAGGTCCCAAAAAAAATGGTGATTTTTGTACATTTTAATTCTTATAACATCAAAAATTATTACTGTTAGATTATATTTTCATAAATATTATTTTCTAGCTATGATCAAACAATTTTTGACTGAAGTTGATTGGGGTGACACATTGGACTATTTGATTGTTGATACTCCGCCAGGAACTTCTGATGAACACCTTTCATTAGTACAATTCCTTAAATCAACTTATAACTTTTCAGCAGTTGTTGTAACTACTCCTCAAGAAGTTTCTTTATTAGATGTCCGTAAAGAATTGGATTTTGCCAGAAAAGTGGGATTACCTGTATTGGGCGTGGTAGAAAATATGTCTGCTTTTGTTTGTCCCAAATGTAAAGTTACATCTGAAATATTTCCAAAAAATACCGGTGGTGCTGCTCAGATGTCACGTGAAATGGGTGTTCCATTTCTCGGATCAGTTCCGTTAGATCCTTCATTGGGACGATGCTGCGATGAAGGTGTCAACTTTATTCAACAACATGCTGGATCACCAACAGTTGTGGCTATTAAAAATATTGTTGAAAGTAAATTGATATGATATCTTATTATTGTATTTAAATAAAAATGATAATTTTCTTGTTCGTTGATTAATAAAATATTTCTATCTTTCAGATTTAACCATGAATCTACAATCAATTTAATAGAACTATGATTTGTTTTTGATTACATAATAATATACTAAAAAATATATTCGCTTACAAATGAAGACAGTTTTTTGTTTAAGAAACTGTTATAATATAGAAGATAAAATTTATTTTGTAATGATAAAAAATATTTTATAATTATTATACATTGATACATATGTACAATTTTATTGAATTATTTTTCTATGTGATAAATTATTTAAATAAACATAATTTTATATTAGAGTAATAGACATACCATTATCACATTTGGTGTTCATGGTCAAGAGAAAGTTGTTAACCAATCAAGATGTTATGACACAATGTTTTTATGATTAAAGAATTTTAATGTGGGCTCATATACCTGTTACTTACCATGAAATGAAACTAATAAAATTTGATCAGTTGGTTTGATTGTTTTACATTTAATAATTTTTATTCTACACAATCTTTTTAATTAACCACAAATATGAAGGTAAGACAATTTATTTTTTTATTTAAATATTCAATTATTATTCTAATTTTATGACATTTAAATATATAATTTTCACACTTCAGTTACAGTTTCTTCTGTATCTAGCTTTATGGAGCATAGTTTCTGTATTGGGTGCAAAATTTGAAGCTTTTTATCCAAGAGAAGCATATGGAGTAAGTAATGGAGCGTCTAGATCACCCCACGGCCATGGATCATTCTACAAGTACAGAAACCCTGCTCTTGTAGATGCTAAAAATTCTCCTGCTTATGGATATAGATTTGACGGGAAAAGGCGTTTCAATTTTGACAAATAATTGATGTACATATGTATTTAGAATTAGTATTACTGTATTGTTTGTCAATAATAATAGTAAACAAATAGTAAGAAAAAGCAGCAAAATATAGTGGTTCAAATAAAGTATATAAACTATAAAGTAACAAATTAATCAATAATTACTGACTGTATTACAATAAGGATTTAACAATAATAAAATAGCAATTTAAATTCATAGAATAATTAAACTTATTAATTAGATCCTCTGTTAATAAAAGAATCATTGTCTTAAATTTGATACAGTCATCATTTTTAAATTTATAGTATTATAAATTTATTTTAAAATAACAAGAATATTATGTAATAGAATTATTGATATTATTAGGTACGAGAGGTAAAATTTAAAAATATTTAAATACTGTTCATATCACTAGACCTGTAGATAATTATCTACTTTGATCTTGGGAGCTGGCTGTGAAAAAGGTGACAGCCAAGTTATGGAAACCCTGCCAAAAACAGCTTGTAAGCTCTTCCATTTAGATTTTTTCATCCAACGAGCTTCTTCCTTTTTTAATTGTTCAATACCCTGGAATATACATTATAATAATTATAAGAGATCATTGTTAATTTTTTTCAGGTAATTTTAATAACCTAATTTTTGCAATTAAATATTGTATACAAATAGATTTAACTGTAGATTAAATATTTGAAAATTAATAATATAAAATAATAGTTGAAACACATAAACATTATGTCCATTTACTAATTACATATTTTGGTCTTTTTTAAAGATATTTTTATACATTTATAACTTAATAAAATAAAACTGTTTATATATTAATGATATAAACAAAATGTTAATTTATTAAATACTATTTTTGTAGTCATAAACTAATAAATTATATATTTACCGTTTCATCAGAGCATATGGCTTGTAGTTGAGTGGCAAACATCACCATGGTGAATATTGCAAATAGTAATGCTTCAAAACCTAAAAATATTAAAAATACTACTGTTGCGGGAGGTGTATACCAAGAACATTGCTTCCATTCGGAATGTAGACACCAAACAAATTGGCTTACACACAAATATAATGCATGCATTGACATAGCAGCAATGTAAAGCTAAAGAACAAATTTTTTGAATAGTTAGAATATTGATTGTAGACATTAAAAAACAAATATATAATATAAATACCGTAAATAATACAAAAAATTTCTGGTTTTTTTCTCCAACACAGTTGTTAACCCATGGGCAATGATGGTCCATTTTTCTAATACATCTAAAAGTAATAATAAAATTAAATTATGGATGATTTATTTTATAAATTAAAAGTTATTTTAGAGAACCTTTGGCAAACTGAACAATGATGGGCTCGTGAGGGTTTAATACAACAGCATTTTGGACATTTATATATCACTTGACCCTCACGTAAACCTAAATTTTGTATCATTTCTTTTGTAGCATTTCCTTTTGGCACTGCTCCCTGAACAATGATATCAATATTATGATTTAATTAGATTATTTAAAACATAGTATAACAAGTTCAATCTTGATAGTTAATATACAAAAAATGATAAAATTTATGTAAGTAATAAACATTGCTATAATAATAACAAAAAAACAAAATGATAAAGTGTCCATGTAACATGTAATTATTACGTTTATTATGTGGTAACATTAAAATAAAAATCTATCATTAATATATCATAGTGATAATAAAGAAAAACTTGATGACCACACATTTTGCTATGACTTTTTTACTGACTTACTAAATTAGATTTATCTCAAGTTGTATTATAAAATAGACTAGGTATTAAAAAGCAATGTGTTGAATAAATGCATGAAGGTACATACAAAAGATACTTAATGTTTGTACTTTTTGTCTATACCAAAATTGTGCAGGTATTGTAACATAATATTATATGAAAACTACAATGAGTTTATGTAAACATACGGGATCTGTAAACATTGTACGAAGATGAGAAGCCATTGCAAGGAAAGCAAAAATTTGAAATATCACCATGTTGACACACTGAAAAATGGGATATGGACATGGTAGTAATGTGACAAAAGTCACTACAAACTCAGCATACAGTATCAACAGCCACGTGAATATTGCACAAATAATACCGCATATGTCCTGGAAAAACAAGGTTTATGAGTGCAAATATAAAAAAACATTTTTCATACTATTATTACCTGAATACACCACATGGAACCACCGCAGCATCGGTTGTGGGGATCTACTCCCTGGTTCGGGTAAAAAATCACTTGATCATTGTCGTCCATGGCGGTCACTTTTTATGCCACCCAGAGGCTCTTGAGCGACGTTCATTGCGCACGTATCAACGGTAGACTGCAAACCGACGGTATTTGGATAGTCATTTCAATTCGCTGTTGTACGTACATGGGCTATGCTGCTGGTAATGTTTATTAAACAAATATTGTTAACAATTAAAACGACGACAGTTGCATAAAGACTGGCGAGTTGTACAGATTTCGGTGGAAAATGATCGGAAACAGCAACGGTTACAATATCGCACTAGATGACGACGAACATCAACTACATGATTTCCATATTAAAATTTAAAATTTGGATGCCTTTTCTTATCATCTTTCTTTATCGCGTAGGTACAAAACTGATTTGTGCCTATTTCCACTATCACCAACACAAACGATAAACAGCACCAGCCTCCGCGGCACCGGCACGGCTATAGAGTTTGACTGTAGTTGCTAATGTTGCTATATTATAGAGAATTAACTAGGTACTAGATGTTGTATGTAAATATAAAAATATATACATATTATGTAAATTAATATTGATGAATATATATTATTTTAATATAATATAATAAAAGTATGTTGAAAACAATTCATAATTAATAAAGTAAATACAAAATAAATATCAACAACGTAATTTATTAATAAAATCGATAGGTACGAACACACATTTGCAAGGTTCGTTAACTGTTGCATGGTCCTAACCTATATGGCCGTGTAACATTTGCAGGATCACTTGTGTACACAATTAATACTATAATAACATCATCACGAATATAAAACCGAAAAAAATATTATTGTATAAACTGTTTATTCATACTGCCGATGAATTCATTGATCGTTCTCCGATAAAGTGATATAAAGTTGACAAATTGTGCTCGAGAATAATGTTTATGCGTACGGAATATAATAATTTATATTTTATAGGTACATGCCTACCTAATAATTATAATTTGGATATGTTTGAAAACAAAGCTGAATAGTTGGGGTAATTTTTTGATAGTTAAATATGCAAAATATATACTTTTTATATTTTGATTTATGTTCAGTTTATACTTAATTAATCACAACAGTAGGCACGTAAAATACTAGTAAATATTTTTTTAAGTTGTTGGCAAAACTATAAGTTTCTTTCTCGAGATCTGAAAACAAATATTAAGATATAAAGTACGATCATTCAATAAATGGAATCCTAAACATTATTAGTTTTTACTTATGGACGGGCGACTATGGTAATTGAAATTTAAAATCACAAGTCGATGTATGATGTGTCTAATGTTTTTTATGATGATAATTGTTATTGTTATTCTTTATATTTGTGTAAAGGACATTGGACATGAATCTTTTTCGCGATCACTAAACTTGTCTTAGGTGCACTCACTGACCCACACACCACTTATACAGTCCACACCGTTGTCTGGCAGTCTGGCGTCATCCAATACACTTGTGTCAAGCTGATGTAGTGGTGAGATTTAAAATTAAAAATATTAATACGTGTCTTAATTACTATTTGTATTCTGTATCCAATAATATCCAATCAATAGGAACCTATATGAAAATTATAAGTATTATAATATTTTTAAATAATAATATTTTCGTATAGTTATCTATTTCTACATAAGCTAAAAATGTGTGTTTTGATATTATAATGGATTTATTAGTTCCTATATATGATATGTATATAAAACAATATTATGTTTTATTGTTTTCTAATTGTCCTAATTATGTTTTAAAATATAGTAAAAGATTTTGACCTAACCTGGTATTAAAATTAATAAACATTTTAAATCAAGCAGACTGGTTAAATTCTTAAACCTTATGCATTTTTTCTAATTTTAAACTTAATTTAATATGTTGTCTAATAATTGCACAATGAACTACATATTTTATTTATCATTAATAAAAATAATTAATATAGGCAACTGTTGATTACTTTATTGAATAACGAACTTTATTTAAAATAATTTTCCTGGCTTAGTGATGACAACTATTGATGAATACCAAAACACGTTGATTGTTTTTTCCCCACGTAAAAATGTTGTTGTCTCTTATTTAATATTTTTTCGGTTATTAATTTAGATTTTTAACATTGAGTAAGTTTTATTGTAAACGTATGGAATAGTGTATTCGGGGGAGGGAGGCAAAATGGAAAAATTTTAGGGGTGGCAAGAGTGATGGATTGTGATGGTATTGATGAGAAAACTATCACATTCTAAATTAAGGAAAATTAGAAGATGATGTTCTTTTTTTTACATGCACAAAAAATAATTACAGTCAGTAAATATAGATTTATATAGTGTTTGTGAAATTTAAGTACCAGTCGTTGGTATTTTATTTAAATAACCTACAAACTGATCAATAATATGAATGTCAAACTATGGGCTGTTAAAAAATGTGGAATTGACGACTTGGCATCTACCAAGAAATGCATAAAAAAAATATAAATATTTATTGATGATAGTTCAGATTCTGACAAAAGTAATTCAACTAATTTTAAAATGATTACTCATAAAGTGAGCTTGAATAAAATTATTTTTGTGCTTAAAAAATAACTTGATGAAGTTATTGTAAGCTGTAATTTTTTATTTTGTTTGACAATAATGACAAACGTATAGAGATGATGCGCGAATAAACCAATGTATTTCAGGAAATATATTGAAATTGAGTAGGTATTAATAATTTTTATTCCGATTTCGCAAAGAAACGAACAGCCTAATTTGTTACCACTTCTCAACATTCAGCCTTATTTAACGAGAAATCCAGATTTCAATGTCATTATTGTAGTTTTTGCTTCAGAAAGTCAAGGGAGAAATTATAAATTTGGTATTGAGACTAGATTGTATTTATAGATTAAATATGTAGGTACCTACATTTGGTATTTAATAAATGTCCTTGTCTTTTACATACAGTTTTATAAAGTACCTAGATAAAAAATAAAAACATTATTTATAATATCATTTGCGTTATATTACTTGTTAATGTTAATCGGTAAGGGGGGAGATTACATTTTTTTCGCACCAAGACGCATATATTATTTTCTAAGTGCGTCACGACCGAACGTATGTTATTGTAGAGTGCAGACCATTGTGTGTGGTATTTCAGTTACGAGAAAATAGAATGTTAAAATCAAAACTGGTGGTTGACCGTGGATGAATGGTAATATTTTATTCATGAAAATCATACAAAAATGTTTATCCCGGTTTAAGTAAAATAAAATATGGCAACACTACACTGAGTAACGGATGAGTACCATATGAATATTTTGTCGGTGTTCCTATAGGCTATAATTGAAACATTTAATTGATTTGTTTGTCCATCCATGATTTTTTAATAATGTACGTGTACTACAGTACACCAAGTTTATAGTGTTCACAGTTAAATTTTAAAAACCTTCTCTAAGTGATATTGAAATTGCAAAATTAACATACAGCCTGCAGAAGTGTTTTATAAGATATTCGAATCATGCATGTTTTGGTAATGCTGCTATAACTATGAAGAAAATAAGAATATTTGTTAATTAGTATCTTTGAAGTGAAAGACAATAATAAAAATTGTAATCGAAAATTTAAAAAAAATAATACATTTTACCAGATTTATAAAAATTTGTTATTTAAAGTTACAATTAATTAAATAATATTTTATTTTAAAAACATAAATAAAACCATTAAAATAACATAAATTTAGTACATTTAACCTTAGTTAAATGTATAATTGTATAAATAAGATGTCCATTGACCATGTAGACTGTGGCGAATCCTAACAGTAATAACTTTTCCACATTTTAAAGTTTTCAAAATATAAATAAAAAACTAGATAAGATTTAGTGGCCGATTATTAGCTAACTTGGGTGAAAACTATAATAATTTGCCGATATATTATTAAATTAATAATATAATAATTGAATTGCATACATTTTCTATTGCGTAAATAATAATAATAATAATAATAATAAAAAAAAAATTAGTACGCAAATCAGTTCGTTATGTAATGTTTATAGGGATATTTATTATATTAACAATTTTATGTTAAGATGTGATGTATAGATTTGGTTAAACAATAAAATAGTTAAGCAATTATAGATTTTAAACATATATTTAAAATATGATAGGTAGTATATTGTAGCAAGTTTTAATACCTAGTACGAAGAAATCACGTCATAATTATCATTTTAAATATCCACAATTATTTAAAACATAAATCAAAAAAAAAAAAAAAAAAAACACGATTACATTTACAAATTATTATTAAAGTTTTATAAATATAGCATAATATGGTTGTATTACATTTTTAGATCATAAAATAAAAAGATGATTTTTATTACGTTCAAGTAATAATAAATATAAATAAATGTCTTTTTGAAAAAAAATATAGTGCTATTTATAAATACGCTAAATTAAAAAAAAAACATATTATTTTTACGAAAACATAAAAATGTACTTGAGGTATACAAAAGGTATGTAAACATACAAAATATAAGTGATCAGTGTTTTGTTTTAAATTAATCTGCACCCAGTTGCAGTATGCGTGTAATATATATTATATTAAATATATGTATATTTACTATATTTGAATTATGAGTATGTTGCAGTTCTGCAGTTGACGGTGCAGAAATCCGAAGTTGCTCGCATTCATGTATATAGTATACATGACCATTATTATGACCATAATAGATTTTATTATCGTATCCATAATAGTACAATACATTAATACTATTTCATATACAGAGTAGCTCTTTTATCCACGAATTAAACATTATATATTAAGATAATCCAGTAATATTTATCATTAAATTTTTTCTAGTTTCAAGAACAGATACTGAAATCATAGAAAATGTATATAGTACCTATGTGTTCTCAAACGTTTAGAAAATAAATAATTTAAAATTTTTTTTAGCCTATTTACCGAGATATTTTCTGAGGGTAAAATAAATATTTTTTTTATATCATGAGTCATGTACCTATGTGAATAGGTATACTATTTATTATATACCATACGGTTGTAACTCTATATCCGGAAGATTTTACTGACATCATCAAATGCATTATTCTTTTGGCAAAGCGCTGTCGCTTTTTCCACGGGCATACGCCTTTACAACGGCCGTCTTACCACCTAACATTCGGTCTAGTAACGATTGTTTGTTTTTCCGCCGAACGCTCAATACCTCTCTGCATACTTCAAGGAACACCTCGGCGATTTGTCCCACTTGTTCCGCGGCCGCCACCTCGGTGAAACAACATTCGAAATCTTTCGCCAATATCTCACCTGTAGCACCACAGGAATATAACAATTACATTGGTTAGCTATATTAACATTTAATTATCACAATTATTCAAATATTGTTATAATATACGTCGTGTATTGATTTCATCATTGTTCAGAGTATCGTAGAGATCAATAATTAGTTAAGTCAAAATTCTATTAAAAATAATAAAAAATTAAAATCGAATTTCTCTTAATAAAATGATATTTTTTTAACATCCCAAATCAAGTTTATATATTCTGTAATGATAGTATGTACCATATGCGTATACAATTATTATCTTGTGGCATTCACTCAAGAAAGGATACGGGGGTATTAGCTTAAACCCCGTTTAAAATAAGCGTATGTGGTTACCATCATCTTCACCATTACGATCATCATGGCGAAAAAGGTCATTTGGGATTTTGGTTTTTTTTCAGTTAACACAGAGCATAGTATGTTTTAAAAAAATATGCTAAACTGTTGTAGACACAATAAAAAATAAAATGTATCCCATTGGACATACTTTGTACTATTAATGTAGGTACCTTCTTCCGTGCTGACTTGTCTGAGATGAACCATATCAGCCTTGTTGGCTACCAGTGCTACGGGCATTTCAAAAGCGTCCAACATAGTTTGTTTTACACGCCGCACGTAATTGAACGATCGTCTATCTGTTATAGCGAATACTAGCACAAGTGCGTCCGCCCAATTGTAAACGTCATTTAAAGGTAATTCTTCGTCATTCTATATATAAAAAAAAAAAATTATGTACACATACACAGACAAACAGTGATTTGTTGAACAACTGAGGATAATAATATTATGTAATTAGATATTGATTGTACAATACGACGATATACCTATCTATACCTATATTTGTAGGCGCATAGTTTACAAGGTTTACAAGTCTTAAGTTTTTAGGTATAGTATTTATTAGCTATTATACGCATAGTTTATTTTTTGAGTAGTGTGTCTATCAAATCGAGAAACATGACAAGTAAATATAGTCTATAACATTTAATATTAAACAATCAAACGTAGAAGTTTTCCATAGCTTACTGTATAAGTAAGCACGTTAAATGCTCCTCTCATAGACAGTTCATTTACTCTGGGTACAAACATAAACAAATTAAAAAATGTGTTTAAATATTATTTGCATATAACTATAGATACTTTAAAACTTGTTTTTGTATTGATATATTATTATCTATTATACATTTATACCCATGGGCCACGACATATTATGGCATATCGGAATATTGCAAGACTTTAATTAAATACCATAAGTCATAAGTCATAACTAATAAATTTGATGATAATTATAATTTAATAAATACAAATAATTTTAATAAGATATCAAGTATACCAATAGATAAAATTCTACTTATATTTTTAGAGACAATTTTTTTTTAAACGACTTATGTTGGCTAGCTATGTTCATACAATTTATAGATTTAAATTTAATCCAGCGCCTTCAGACCAAAAAAATAAGCCTATTTGTTCCAGTATTTATTATCTTTACTTTATTTACTTTTATACATTTTTAACTACCTACCTACTTATAATATTTAAACGGAAATTAATTAAAATATGTCTTGTAATATAATTACTTTTATAAATCACTGTCAACCAAAAAAAAAATTTTCTCTTGGAAATATTTAGGTGTAAATTCTGAAATCCACGATACAAATATTATTGATATAAAATATGGTACAGCATAATTAATCATGTACATACATAATTATTATAATTATATTATATATTATGCTATTATGAATAGAATGTATAATAGAAAAAAAAATGAAAAATGCGTATGCCAGAATAATGCAGACTCCGGACTTCAGAGTATATTTTAATTACAATATTTTTCTATTACACATTTACACGTAATTATTTTTTATTTTCTATTTGTATACATCGCACCAATTATGTATGTTACTCTTACTTTATGATGCTTTAGAGGACAATATAGTAAATTTTACGTTTAGAATAAACCATTTTACTTTGTTAATTTTTATAACACAGAGAATTGATTAATTTAAAAATATTCTTATTTTTAAATTTGATAATAAGTCAATTTACTTTAAATACAGAGTAAAATAAAATCTTCTGAAGGTAAAATTTGTCATATTATGCGTTAATGAGATATGAAAACAATATTTGGTATTGCAATACGACGTTCTCTTAATATGTTAAAACATATGTAAGTATTATATTTTTATATTTATATAAACAATTTATTTAACTATATGTTTATTTTATATCATACGTACCTTTGGGCAGGTGTCTAGTATTTCAAAAAGAATTGGTTCACTGTCCACCATCACTTCATGCTTGTACCTCGTTTCTATATCGCAAACGAATTCAAATAATCAGTACATAAGAAGTATTTTGCGATTTCGTTAACTTAACTAGCTTGTTAATTTTCAAATTGACTTAATAATTGAGTAAAACAGCTTATTGTAACGACTCATTAATTATTATGAGTTCGTGTTCATACATATAAGGTAGCTGTTATCAATTTGAAAAATGATACGATAAGTTAAAATCTGTTTTTACATATCTATAACTGTAGTTAACAATAATAATTAATTATCCATTTTTTTTTTAATCTCACTGTACTCAAAGATTTTAAATTGGTGTAAATAAAAAAATACACATTCTTTAATTGTAATTTAGTTAACTCAAACGCTTAATTTTCTAAACCTTCATAGCTAGCGTGAAACTAATTTGGAGGGAGAGTGTATATAATGCATTTTTAGCATATTTTGTTAATATTTAAAAAATACTAAGTTCCATAGTCACTTTAGATGTGTGAGTGTAAAATCCAGATAGTAATTAAAAAATAATTTTTAGTTAAATTAATATAAAAGTTTGCTGTATAAAATTTTAGTTTAAAATTAAATATGTTGTTTATTTCTATTAAACTTATATCTCAACGTTCTTAACTTTAATTTAACTTAATTAACTCAAGTCAATACTTAATCGTTTTAATTAACTCGCCTTGCCCCCTTTGTAAATTACTAGTAAAGTAATAAAATAAAAATCAAATATGGATACGCGTAGATTTGTGTACAGTATTTTAAGTATTTATGAAAACATTAAGAGTATGTTTAGCTATTTTTAATGTCGTTATTATTTCTCAAGATTTCATTTAAACATATATTATTGCAATTTACGAACTTATGCAAGATTAAACATTAAAGTCTATAATATGATGGCCTTAGATTATTGTATATTATAGTATTTTCAGTTCATTGTGTACTATACAATTTCATCAATATTTTATTTGGCCTTCAAAAGTTATTTTTATCTTTTAACGTTTTCATATAGTATTTGTTTAAACATAAGTGTAGTACCATATAATTATTGCAAAAAAGACAATTTAAATAAAATGAATTACTTAAATATTCTAATTTTATTTTAATACCAGTTTGTGATGATAATTACATTTTTTTTTCTGAATAACTTAACGGTGAATTTTCTGGGCTGTAATTCTATTTTTGCATTAATTTTCAAATTAAGACTTACCAGCTTGGTGATCATATTCGCCAATATAACGCTTTGTTAAAAACCGCACGGTCAATGCTAAACATAAGAGAAAAAATAGTTAATTTTATGTTATGACTATAGATACAAATTCTGCGTTTATAAATATTTACGATAGTAGAAATTTTAATTTATATTATTGAACAAAGCTAGAGTTAGTTATTAAGAAAAACTTGATTTTTTTTCTCCTATTAACTTACACTATTGAGTATAAGTTGTTTAAAGCATTACCACACCCATATAATGTTATCTCCGTCTGACAAATTTACAATATAGGATATTTGTGTTCAACAATTCTGATTTTGGATAATAAGATTTAATTATAGAGTAAATTGACATATTATCAAATTTAAAAAATTAGAATATTATTTATGTTTTCTTGTGGGTTTCTTACAATATTTTAATTTTTTTAAGTTACAGAAGAAACTCATTTAACCATCAGTGTCGGGACCGAGACAATGACAGTTAACAGAAAATTTTTAATAAACGTATATATTTTATAATATGATTAGCAGACAAAAATAATATGTGATAAATAATTAAGACTAATAATATAATATTATGTAATTTTTTTGAGGCACAAGCTTTTTGAGCGGATATTTATGGTATTTTACGAAATAAGACCTGCGTTGTATTTACCTCCTCTTGCACTTTAAACCACTCAATGCATTTTGATAGCATTGCTTCTACTTTAGAGTGATTAGTTGGCGTTTCTAAGACCGTTTTTCGACGGTGACCAATGACGGATAACAGAAAGTGACGGTTAAACGAGTTTCTACTGTATGTGAATTTTTAAATTTTAATATTTTACATATTCGCAACATGCTTAAAAAGTTAAATATTATAAAAACCCCGCCTGAAAGCACAGATAATGTTTATACTATTAAGTTTGATAATAAATCAATTCTCTAAATTTTTACAAACTATTTCTGAATATATAATTTGTGTGTTGTATATTCGTAAAACGGTGTCAACATGTGTGTGTAGTATCCTAGCTTTTAAGACTTTGATAGTTAGTTAAAAAAGTGAAACCCATTTTCAGTTTGATTATCAATAAGCTCAAACAATAAAAAGAAATTGACTGAAAAGTGTATTGAATTTTAACTTAACATTTGTTACACCTGGAAATGTATCCAATAATTTTTATGAAAGATTTGGTAATGAGCCATTTATAAATAAATAAAAAAAAAACATATAATTTCAATTTAAACGCAACGTCCAAAAGAAATAAAAAGCACGTGTCGAACAAATTTTATTAAGTACATTATACTAAATAGGATATATCAAAAAACATAATAACAATATTCACAGCCGTAGTTCTTGAAACTTGAAAGTGCAGTAACAGTCAACATTATACATCTCGATTAAAATATAAATTGTTATTATGTATAGGCATATCATTACATACATTGCACGCCTATATATTATAATAAGTACTTTTTCGGGAGTCTTTGAGTTTTTTTAAAATAGACAATAGAAAAACAATAAAATTGCAGTTTTTTCACACAAATATTTAAATTTAGTATAATCAAATTTGAATTCGGTTACGTTTCTCAAACAGGGTTGATACATTGATTGTGTAAAGGTGTAGTGCTGAACTGTAAAATAAAAATTGCAATCAACGTGCAACCTGATTTCAGTAATATTGACTTCCAAACATGGAAATTGGACACAAAATTTACATTTACAAGTTAAATAGGTAATACGTATGTATAAACGCATAAAAGAAATATGTGCTACAGAGTTCAGACATCAACTTTTGAGGAATGGCAAAATTTTTAATACCTATATATCTACAAGAAAAAATTAAATGTTACAATTATTATTTCTAAATGATGATTTTTCTTAACAGTTAAATAAGTATGAAAATTTAAAAAATAACTTATGAATTTTAATTAATTTTAATCTTTAAATTTAAAATTTATCATTTATTTTTACTTTTAATTTAAATTTAGTAACAGATTTTGAAAAAGAACTAATACATTTTAAAACATTGTATTCTTCAACAGCAGAAAAATTATTATTTGCTCCAGCTTTATTACATAAAATAATCATTGCCTAATCGTTTTTAGAAACATAATTAGTCATTACCTAATTACACAAAAATAACTTTAAGAATTATTACTTATGCTCAAAATTCTCAAAATTCAAGTGTAAAAGATTGCTTCCCGATAGTTAAAATTTAACTATGAAAAAATGTTAATATTTTCAGTATTGCGTACTGAATTTGATTTAGTTATAATATGTTAGTTATATGAATACAGGAAAAAAGATATTTAATTGCAAAATAATTGTATTATTTTAAATATTACCATAATCATTATATTATAATTTATTAACTACTCTAATATAATATTAAACGTTATATTACTACAACTTTTTTTTGGTCATGGTGGGGGGGGGAGTAATTGTTTGCTCTATGACAAGGTCTATTGACCCTTAACCGACTCTGAGCATTGTAAATAATATTATCCAATATAACATACGGGTGCTGCTCACCGCTTTTGCCGACGCCGGGAGCCCCTAAAACCGCTATCTTCACTTCGGTCAGCGATGACTTTTTCCGCCGGATTCCTCGGATGGGATTTGACGACATTCCGCGGTACGATACAATATTATTTTAATAATAATGTGTAGATCATGTATAGACGAGCGCACATGTACTTTATATATTTACGTATATGCATACAAATTATATAATATGACCGTCACTTCACGCGTGCGACTTGAGATCAATATACGTTTTTAACACAACGGATTTCGGTCTTCCGAACGGCCGAAAATGTCTGGCGGGTGTTAAAATGTTATAATATTATCGCCAGTGTTATACTTATAATGCAGACTCGCGCGTTCGCGACAACGGTCGAGAATAATCGAACTCGTCCGAGGGGGAGATCCGCGGTTGTATATACAGTAAATAGTGTGTATAATATTGTGCGTGTGTGCGTGTGTGTGTGCGGGCTTTGGCGCTCGAATGTAGGTATGGTTAATATGTGTGTTTATACAGCAATGTAATATATGTATAAATCATATATTATAAAAAAACAGCGCTCTTGCTACTGCGCCCCGCGCGAGTTCTAAAAATAAAAGCCCCGGTCGGGCGGGCACGCCAGCAGACGCTTCCGTCTCGCGCCTATTACCCGAAACGCGCGTGCCTAAGTACGCAGCGTCTGCTCGAGACTTTATTTCTTATAATATTATTACTGTTCGAGTATGTGATGCGAAACCGTCTTTTGGTTTTATTCAACCGTACGAATTCTGCAATGGCGCAGTGGACATTGGTCATTGATAACTGTGTGGAAGACTACCAACTGGCTAGTTTAAAATTGTTAAAAACTAAGGAAAACATTTTTCCTATCAATTACTATCATTTCTTTATCGACTATGACGAATAGCGATTACAAACTATAAAAGTAGTACCCGTGCCGCGTATATTCAGTTACACAACGAACTACACAGTACATAATATATATACAGTATTAGTTAATATTTATATAATTATACAATTATGTTTATGATTGTGTGAGCTTATATGATAATGAATAACAAAAATTGTATTTCATAAAGAGAGAAAATAAATTCAAATGATCCGATGTTATATTTATGAGTAAGTTTATTAGGTATTTAATGTTTATAACGAGTTTGTATTGATAAAGATTAGTGATTAACAAAATTTATAAATATACTGGTCGACTTTTTTTTTTGGAATTTTAAGGAAAATAAAATGATATTTAATTTAAATAAAGGATTTGTTCTTTTTGAGAAACATTTTCATTATATATATATATATATATATATACTATGTATAAATGTTAAAAATTAGTGACAAAACGCCAAAATATAATACCCATATGAAAAACGTTTAATAAGAGTTGGTTTACTTTGAGGTTTGAGTACTATAAAAATATGAGAAATAGATCATTTCCAGTAAAATAAATTTTTGTTATAAAGTAATAATAGATTAGTAATCTATAGTTAGCCGGGAATATCGCCTATGTAGAGGTAATTATTTTAAAATCGTATATAATATGGAAATCATGGGATGAGTTAATTTACTAAAATTAAGTTGATCCAACGATACATCTTCGTAAATAAAAAAATATAGACAAAGTCATTGTTAACTTTGTGACATTTGTCACTGTCAACTTGAACATTTAATGTGATAGCCATCGTTAAATTAATATATACAGTGCTGTTTTTATTTTTACTCTCGTGAACTACAATACTTCTGTAAAATGTTGTAGTTAGTTTACGATTTTGCTGATTTTTTAAAATTTATAATTATATTCATACTAGCATATTACCTTAGTATCATACATAGAATTCTATAGGTATATTTTTATAACTAATATACTTGAATTATGGTATAAAAATCAAAACAAAATAACTGGTCCTCAGTATTTAGTTTAAGAAGGTTTTTATTTTATTTAATTCAGAAAGATAGCAATATTTTTAAATTTTTAAATACACACATACTGCAAGGTTTATAGTACAAGACGAAGTAAACTCATGTAGGTTACCTATATACATGATAATTTATAGCTTTATAAATGAGCGTACGAATTATTGTGCACACAATAGCAACGCCAGTGATGTGACATTTCGGCGCATTTGTTTGATAAGTTTAAAAATAAGTAATAATACTTCTTATTGCTTTTGTTTAAAAATATAATGTGTCCTCCATATTTTAATAATGCATGAACAGTAGATGTAGTACAGTTACCATTTATTTACTGCATTAAATAACACATGCAATTAATTATATTGTTAATGTATTTATGAGTTGTAATTTTTATTACCATTATTATTATAGGTATATAGTTGTGTGTTGAATTTATATTAATTGTTGAAACTGAAATATGTAAATAGTTGTTGTACTGGGATTAATCCGTTAATAAATATTTTTTTTTAATTTCATAATATAGTTTAAATATTGATGAAAAACAAAACCTTTAAATATAAAATTAAAACTTAAAAAACTTTTAGACAAAGATAAAGATTCATAAATAAATAAATTATAAATATGTGAATAATATATAGTGATTAGAATATAATATTAGCTCAATTGAGTATTTTTAACTTTTTAACTTTCTCAATGATCACTAAACTCAAGCGTATTATATTGTTAAAGGTCGTTTAGTACATACAATTTTAATTTTTGTGAAATGTTACGCACTAAATATTTAATTACATTGTATAATATATTTACATATCAATAAATAATAATGTTATATAATTATATTGTTTAACGAGTTTTTTTTATACTTTATTTTTAAATAATGACAAATTCAATCATATCTAATGTAATAACTAATATTATATTGGTCAATTATTTGTCATACTTTAAACAATATTTAAATGCCTACTAGTTATTACAACTTAAGTCAAATTAGTTATAATAATAATAACAAGAATAAAATTTTATTATATATAAATATATAATAATAAAAGTTACATAGATACAATAAATTATCTTATTTTTAATTTTTCACTCTAAAGATTTAGTTTATATATTTTTGGGCTTAATCGTTTATTCAGGAGTATTATTACTAGAGTTCGAATTTTAATGTAATGTGAATTATTTTATGGGTACTCTAAAACAATGAAATCCAAGTACTTAGTTCTTTTCAAATAACAGATTTGAAGAAAAAAATTTTTATTTTGTATTTTTTATATGTTTTCATTTTATTTTTAGTTTTTCAGGTATTTAAACTAAATTTTAGCACTTATATAAAAATATTTTACAAGATTTTCATAAAAATTAAAAATTCAAAATATCATTTCAAGAATTTTTGTTTTGATAATATTTGCTTTATTTACTGAGAATATTAAGAGTATGGAATAAGCCATTTTCAAAATATTTCTGTACATAAAATAAAATCTTAAAAAAAATTTAATAACGATATTTCAAATTATAAACCATAATTTCCACAGTTATTTTTATGAAATTAAATATTTTAAATGAAATAATAAGATTTTTAGGTGCCTTTAAAATTCAGCCTGCAACGTGCTATAAGATTCTTCGTGTTTTATATAGGGAAATTAATAGCACGTATCGAAAGTGAACAATAGCAAAAGGTTGCAGTGCATGTAAATATTTTCTCGGTCCACATATTTATCATAATCAAAAGGAAATTTTAATAATTTCACTTTAAACTTACTATCACGCAAAAGAAAAAGATTTAATATTAAAATTATACAAACCCATACAAAATTAAAAAAAAATTAATGTTTTAATAAACATACATTCTAACTCTAAACAAATGTTTAGTTTAAATTCACTACAAAAATGAATTACATCTAGATTCAAATTTAAATTCTATTTTACAAAAATGAATGACGTCCATAAAAGATACTAAGCCACAAAGACAAACGATTCTTTTAAAGTATAGTTTGTTTATACACATAAGCAACTTACAATATAATCATTTTGAGCGTCCATATCATTCTTTTAAATTTTTTTAAATTGTTTTAAGTTTTTACATTTTTTAATGGTAACGTAGTAAGTATCTACATATTTTTAATTTTATGTATTAATCCAATCACACGGGGTTAAAGCGCGAAATGCTGATTTATAACACCACTCTTCCAAACTTTAAATGCTACTAGTTAATGAAATATTAAACTATTTAGCAGTAAATATAGGTAATTAATTTTACAGTACGTTATTATAATTAGGAATACGATGAATAATGATTTGTGATTTAGAATCTATAGATATTTACAAAAATCAATAACAATTAATAAAAAAAAATACATGTAAAACATGTCTGCAGCATTTTTATTTTGCGTCTTTAGCTTTAAACTTAAGTATTTCATAATTAGATCTTACCGTTTACGCCGTATAATAATGTTCATCCAGTATATTATTTTGGTAGTATGACAATATTTGCGATTTTCTTGAAGTTTTGATACATGTAGATCGTGTAATTATTTTAACAACTGATATCTGTACAGTATAATGTACTATAGTTGTACGTAATTCAAAGGCAGTAGAAAAGATTTTAAATAAATAATACATTTTTTATTTACATTTAGTTGTGTTTAATGTACCAACCATATTGTGCAATTCATCACTAGCAATAAAACAATGAAATAAAATAATAATAGTAATCAACACGTTGTGATTGTTCAGATGAAACACATCAGATATATAGCCTTGAAATAGAAAATAAACAAAAACAAATTTAATCAAATAAAAGTTATTTTTCATAATTATCACGGATTTTAAACATATTAAAGTACGTTATATTATTATTGTTGTTATTGTTGTCTATAAAGGTCATCATTTAAAATATATTTTTTTTCAAAAAAAAAAAATTATATTCCATTTCATACAACTAATTATTGTGGTTTAGGAGTTACACAATTTCTAATCGAATGTTTTTGTATTCAATTTGCTTGTAGGCTACATTTTAAGCACTTTGTTTATTTAGATCATATACATATTAATAATATATTGAATAATGACATACTTCGATGAATGTTTGGTTCTTTCATTTTTAATTTCACATAACTGTTTGGAAATTGGAGACATTAATTTTACCATTTATATTATAAATAGAAAATTATGGGAAGATTAAAATACACAAACACAACGTTTTGTTTAATAATTATACGTTTATTATAATATAATATTTGATTTTTTTTATGAACAGTTTTTACTTATCTTGGTAGATAAGAGAAATGACAATAGTTGATTTTCTTTATTTTTTTGTAGTTTTAACATAATACTAAACAGCTTTGGAAACTAAATAGTTTTATAATTTCAACTAAAATAATAAAAGAAAATTTTTAATAACTAAAACTAACATAAAATAATCTTGAACATATAACCTACAGAATATATTGAAGAAACATAAACTTGGTTCTATATTAAACAAAAAAAAATACGATTCTACGCCAAAGACACATGACGGTAGTGTCACAAAATATAATATTAAAATACTTTAAATAGAAATAAATAAGAAAATAGATATATATATATTAAATTTATAAACTATAAATACTATGATAAGTGTGTTTAAGTTTAGTTTAATGCTAAATAAACATTATTAGGAAGAGTAGATGATTAAAATTGCCAAATTAAGTCGATGTAAAAGTTTACAATATTTTCAATATTCAACTACAATAATTATTTGTGAGTACTTCAAAATATGATATTTTACACGCACACATAACTAGGGGTCATGAATGTGTGGTATCTATTAATTAAAGTGTATGAAGCATGAGCAAAATGTAATAAATAAAAATATTATTTCCGAGAGATCTTGCCGGTAGAAAAAACAAAAAGTTGTCCCATCGTCACCGGTGACTAGAAACACGCCGAAGACATACAATAATATTATAAACTATATATATATATATAAATTATATGTAAATAAATATATAAGTAATAGATAAGTATTACATTTTTTTTTAGTGGAAAAAAATGAATAAATGGTAAATATATTTGCATGCGTCCGGGAGAATTTAGTCAATTTAACCGGATCTCATTTTCAACTTGTTCAGTGCGGTATTTAGATGTAACATTTCCAAGTTCAATTGTGTCATTAGGTTGTTGAGCTGATCAACTGAGTCTAAAATTTCTGCTCTTTGGGTGTGTGGGTTATAACGGACTTCGAATGGTCGTGACATAGATGAAACCCATTTCCTGTGAACATCAAAATCAATTTCCGGTAAATATTTTGCTTTAAAACCGTCGTTTATATTATTTTATATACCGCATTATAATTATGTGATAACTTAAATAAAGTTTAATCAATAAATATAATAATTAATAAAACTTTAAGAATTATATTATTTTTGTATCATGAAAATATATATAGGTACAGTAATGCTGCAAAGAATATTTACCTGAATTTGTCCTTGGCATCTTCGAAACTTTCAGCGACGAAATAAATTGGCTGGTATTCTTGATCTTGGTATGGTTGGACAGCTGTTATTGATGGTTCGAATGGTCGGAGTTCGGGTTTGCCAGAAACAGCGTGCAAAAGTTCACCGTAAGCGGATAGCAGTCCTGCACCGTAGGCCTTCACTTCGCCATGTTCCTTGCAGAGACCGAATTCGATCGTGAACCAATAAACCTATAAATATTGAGACGAAACATAATAATGATTACATAACTGCGATATTAAGCAATTTTTAAGAGTTATAATAATTTATCTGTAATACTTACAGTTGACAGTTTTTCAATTTCTTCGTCAGAAGCTCCAAGAGATGCTAAACCGAGTTCTTGTGAGAACTGAGCAAAGTTCGGATCGGCTAATAAAGGCATGTGACCGAGGACTTCGTGGATGTAATCCCTAAAAATAAGTGACATTTATTATTATTTTTTTTTTTTATTCGAATGTATATAATTTTATTTACTAAGTATGTTTTTCTGTCCGAGACCTATTTAAATAATTTTTTTCAATAATTTACGAATCATTGATGATTTCTTATAAAACTGTATTGAATTTTTGTACATATTTTAAATATATATATTTTATGAAAATGACTGAGTAAATTATTATTAACACTATATGCCATTTTATTGAAAGAGCTTTGCTTAACATAATTAAAGTAAAATTAAACGGCAGTCGCTATAGATCGGTAAAAGCAATTTTGTCATAGTTGTACTTAATTGAATCACGGGCCACTTTATACATCGAAGTATAATGGACTTAAGGATGTTCGCGCAAAAGGTTTATTTCCTCCATACATTATTATTATACATAATAGTACAATATCGTAATGCGAACGGAAATTGTCTCTATCCGTAACATAATCGGCTTGTCGACTTTATTATTCAATTTGTTTCAAAGAGATTTATACGTAATTCAATACTAAGTATAAATATATTTAGATACGTAGATTATTTTAAAGTGTAATTTAATTTTACCTCGTTTTTCGACTAATAATAAAGCGGTTAGAAAATATAATAATAGGTTAATGTATAATATATATTTGTCATTAATTGTCACTAAATAATAAGTGCTATTTAGTTTTGCTAATATTATTGAAATACTAACCATAATAGCTATTTATTGAAAAGAAAAACAACGTTTCTTATTTCACAATAACGGTGATTAGAATAAAGTTTCTAAATGTAATCAATTAAAAGTAATGAAACAAATAGGTAACGACAAGTTAATGGTCAACACAGACTACAATAAGCGCTCCGGGACTTAGTGCATTCAAATTGCCTACACAGCTTGCCTGATAATGGATTTATTTCTATATTTAATAATTATTGAATAATATTTCATATTTTTGTAAATATTGATTTTCAATTTAAACTTGTAATATAATTCTTATAACGAAAATAAATCAGGATAATGTGGTACAAGACAGAATTTTATGCGTATATTATATAACTATAGCGTATCATATAATATTAAAAACTAATTAGACCATTCGTTAAGATATATTCTTTTCAAAAAGATTTATTTTTAACTTATTTGATTGACAAGGTACTTACGGTTCAGGTGTGTGGAATGGTGATTTGTTATGACGAATGTACTGCGTACTTTGGAACACACGGAACGCGAGGCTGGCGAGGAAGTCACGGGCCGTCAACAAACCAGCCGCTGGCCGGAGAGTGAATCCAGTGTGCTTCTTCAAGAATTCGTTCATGTCCCTGAGTTGCGGGATCTTGTCCACAGTGAATAAGTTGTCGTCTTGCAACATCTTAAAAGCGTTTCTGTATTCCATGCAGAAGTGTTTGGGCATCAGGTCCAAAACGTTGTTGAAAACCGCGTTCCATGTATCGATTTCGTCAGCAGTATATTCAATAACTGGGATCAAGTCACCACTGTTAATCAAAAGGCATAAAATAAATTTTGTGAAATCAGGGTAAAAATAAAAACAATAATAACAATAACCGCAAAAAAAAAAACAAATGATAATCTAAATGCTATTACGTACAATTTATAATCGAATGCAATGTTGACAATTTCCTTCCTGCGGGCGCGGTACACTTTGTCGGAGAATCCGGGATGGTTCATGTCCAATTCCGGATCGTATTTGGTCTTCAAGTGGTTGCAGTTGTCCAAGTCACGGGCGTGTCTCGGGAACCACGGGTTCTTGACGTTGATGTTGTCTTCGGCTAGAATCGTAATGCTTGCCAATGTAGAGCTTTGTCTGAGTATCTTCATTAATGCTAATAGATCTTTTCTCGTCATATCCACTTTGGCCAAAATGTCAAATTGAACTCCTTGTTCCTTAGACGGCCTTGACTCTAAATGGACGACATTGCCTTTTCCGTTCTGAAAATATTATGGAATTATTATAGCTTTATATACCCGAGCGACGAAAATCTTAAATTGTCACAAATATAATTTAATCATTTTCTGAGTTAACTTACTTCGATTACTTTCAATATCCGGGCGAGTGAATTGATACCTTCGCGCAGACGCAATACCAGAGTAGCTCTTTGTATAGCCATCTCCGCATCTTTGTCTTCGCTTGCTGCCTTCTCCAATAGCATTTCTTCTTCGGTAAGTCCAGCATCTGTAAATATAAACGCCCGACGGCAATGTAATTAAAATCTCTCACTACGGCGGAAATGCGATAATACAATTCCGGAATCATAAGGGACGATGAGTGGGCGACAGACCACGTAATTTCCTCAATGGTAAAGTGGCGCTGTTCCGGTTCTTTTGGTGCCCACTCAACTGTGTAATCAGTACTTATTTCGTTGGCATAAGTGATTTGGCGTGTCAAAAGAAAAATTGATAAAGCTATCACATTTTATACCATTTTAAAAAGAAATAGGCAGTCGAAGATGATAAAATTGAAGTACAAAAAAAAAAAAAAAAAAAAATTGGAAAATTAAAAAAAAATTAAAAAAATATGTAATTATGAAAGTATTCATTAGCATAAATGAATTAACCTTTAGTAAAATAATACATTACAGTACGAAAGTTTGATTTCTTTTCAACACTAAAAATAGCCATCTATTCGGAAAACGTATTTTAAAATTGAAATTTAACGTATGTGTATAAGTATAAATTATATGAGAATAATATATTTTGAACTACTAATACAAATTTATAATAACCTTATTTATATTAATAAACATTTTTATAAAGATATTTACCTGAGTCTTCATTGTCGGATGATAATTCAGATGATTCGGATGATTCTACTTCTAATCAAAATAAGCCAAATAAAAATAATAAATAAATCAATGCAAACATAAAAAAATTCAAATAATAAGCATTTAGTCAAATAAATTACCATTTTCGTGATCGTGATCAATAGATTTTCCTTCAGATTCAAAAACTTGATCGTCGTATTGATCGTTAACTAATAAAATAATAATACAAATTATAAACAAAAATCCATGCAACAAAAAACTATATAAAATTATATTTTTCTATTTAATTATTTATTTATTTTATTGTTTTTGAAAATTTTTAGTAAATATATCTAAATAAATAAACTGTTTTATTTATTATAAATTAGTCACCCATATTTTGTACGGTTGTAATTACGGTGTAAGTGTAAGTATTGATTACGAAAATCGAAAACTGTAGTACCTCATTCAAATTTATTTTTTTTATAAGAATCTTTAAATTAAACTTAAAGTCAACTAAATGATTTCCTTCAAATATTATATTTAAACTGGTTTTAAGTATTTTAATTGTTGCGTTTTGTATTGTCATTACAGTGGCAGTTACACAATAAATAACTTGACGGTATTAATTATTATTACAATATTGCAATGTTAAAATTATATGATAGATTTATGAAGTGAAAAGTGGTTTTGTTTGAACGTAGAAATAACAACGATGTACGCTATAGATATAACTAAAATGAGAATAAAATATAAAAACCTTTTATAATAGGTAAATTTGAATTTGGATGGCGTATATGGTTCGAAACGATTTAAAAAACGAATTACGTTGAAACTTCGTTGTCGTAGAAAGAAAAATGCAAAACGAATTGAATTTTACGAAAAACAATAAAAGCAAGACATGCACTTACTTTGAGCTTGGTGTTGACGTTGAAGTTGGCTGGCGAAATGCGCTACGGCTGCGTCGGTCGCTAAAGAAGCGTCTAAAAGCCATAAACAACACATTGTAGCCATTTTATCGTCAGATACGTACATAATGGTGAGATGAGTATAAAATATAATTCAATATAATAATAAATGATAAACTACAAGCGACAAACGATAATGTAAAATAAAAAAATAAAAAACTTTTATAATAGATATGAAAGCCAAAATTAAAAATTAAAATTAAAATGGGTGTAATCAACAACGTCGCGACAAAACGATTATTAAGATGATATAATTTAAGTAAAGATGAAAACGAAGAAAACGAGTGGTTGTCGTCGTCGGGACGAGTGTCCGGTCCGTCCGGACGTATCATATAATATATTATGCAGAACCGCGAGTGCGTCGGCGACGAAATGGAATCTCGTTCCGCTCGACGTTTCCGAGATTCCGGTGGAAGAAGCGACGGGCCGAGTGACCCTTAAACAATGTCAACTACAATTTGTTTCGATAAGTACATAGTAGCGTCGTCGTACACATACTTCCACACGACGGTCGCAGCACGTACGTATGTTTTTACGATCATTATAATAATTTATCATTATACGACTGTTATTATTTTTTTATCGTCGCCTATCGTTTTAAATATTATACAATTTATTTAATATACATGTATAAAAACTATGTGCAATAAATTATGCGACGCGGACGATTCGCAAACGTGATCCAATGTTTCATCACCGGGATTATGGCGATTCGGAAACGGTCAAACGGGTATTTACGGCACCGATACCATTGCCATCGCGATCATTATATTATGGATTACGATTGTGCAGTGACGGCGTTGATCTTGAGAGTCGGAAGCGACCGCCAAGGTTGCAGCGCAAATTATATACTACTTATATTATTTTGTACAAATATAACTCATGAGCACGGCGGGGAACCTGTTCGACGACCGGGTGATCGGAAAACGGAAACACCGAGCGCATGATAATAATAATTATATTTTTGTTGACTCATGGATAATTTTTGTCCGGTTTAATTATTATTCAGCGATATTTTTTTATTTTTATTCAGGTTTTCGGCTGGTTTTACTTCCGTTGAAATTTGTCCTTTATAAACCCGACCCAACCCCATTAATATCCTGTACATGCAGTAGTCTACTAACCGTTAGCTAATTGCCGGGCTTCTTCTAACACAGACTGTTTGGTCTGCTTCACGACGATCGTCTCGAATCTGGCATCGTCTACGAGAGAACGTCTCCTTGCTGGATATCCGTTCTGAAATTAATGTACATTTAATTTAGTGAAAATTTCTATTATAAAAAAATAATATGTCGTGCGTTACGGTCATATTATATTTAAGACGTTATATACGTCACGTTATTTATTGTAAATAGCTATGTAAATTTAATTACAAACGTGTCAATAATATTATTATTTTGCCGCGCTACACCTATGAGGATAGGAGAACAATATATTATGTATAACAGCCCATAGGGTACGTTGTTTCATGATTTTCACAACTAACCATTTTTTATTCATATTCAAAATTGTGTTTATAATTATTATTATCACATATAATATTGTTGTTGCGTGTATTATGCCGGAATAATCTTGAAAATTTCCAGGAGAATTAAACGTATATGTTATTATGATATGCGTATTATCAAAATTTGGTTATGTGTTAAAAAAAAGAAAAAAAAATATAGAAAAATATCATACAAATAATTGAGTACGATAACTCGATAACAATAGTTTATAGAATATATATATTTATATATTGTAAATATACAAACACTCGGCGCGGCGCAGTCATGTGTAGTTGACATATCTGATGACGTGGATTAATAATAATTACCTACTCGGTGTCAGATTTTAATTCGAAAACCGTGTCAAAAACACTAAACATAAATAGAGTGTGTGTGAAAAAGAGAGAGAGAGGGAGTGAGAGACAAACATTATATATAAATTTATATTTATATATATATATAGAAAGATAGACACTGTTACCGACCCATATTGGCCTGTAGAGGTTGAAAAAAAAATTTGGCATTATTATTTCACCATTGTAGTATATAAAAATAAGTAAATAGTTTTTTTTTTTGATCTGGCGCAATGAAAATATATAAATATATATACCATATAACTATACATTTATGTATATATATTACCGCCCGCGTTTTCTTTTGGTCACGTATATAATGGACCGTATAAAAAACACATGAAACGAAAATAAACAAGTGTGAAGTGAGGAGTAAATCCGGAAAAATTGTTATTCTTGACACACGTCATTTCATACAGCGGCTTATAAGATTTTTTCCTCAGTGTATAGTGATTTTTTTTTCGTTGGAATTCGAAACGAGATTTTTTTTTTAAATAAAATTTCTAATCGTGATACATTATCCCACACGTGGAATGCGTGATGATTGCAAATCGTTATGATCTGGAGCACGAATTATGCCAGTAAAAGTTTGCGCTTAAGCTTGTAAAAGGCCATCGTTATCATATTATTATTATATAGTTATTCGGCCTCGGAACTCCGCGTGCGGTTGCAGCGGTATCTTGATTTTCACAGAGCCATTAAATGCCGCCCTTGTCTCTTGCAGAGAATAAAAACGGGAGAGTAAATATACAAAAGGTTTTGGGTCAATGACGCAGAACTTTTAGATGTAAGTGAAAACGTCTTTTTCATTAATGAAATTAGTGAAAAAAAACAAAGAAAAAAATCAAACGTAAAATAAGAATTAACCCGACATAATAATTAGTATATAATATTAATTGGTTAAATAAATGCACGGTTGTTTCTTTTAATTGTTTACTCGTTTTTTCACTATCATTGATAGATATAAAAACGTCGCGATCGCCGAGATTATAATATTATACACATCACATATACCAGCTATATACCTATGTATAAATATATTTATAATAATATCGTTAAACCTATGCGGTTCGCCTTGACCTAGCTGATGCACTATTATATTGTAGGCGAAACAAGGGCATCCCGTTACTAGTTGGATGTTATCGTACGGAAGGACGCTGATACTATTATTATTATTACTATTACAATTATTACTATTTAGCGTTTCCCCTCGTGAACTCACAGTGTGACAACTTGGACCAATAGTAATAATAGATGTTTCTTCGGATTCTATACACTCATGAATTAAAAATAATGACGTCTGAAGGAAATAATTTAAGGAAAAATTCAAATAAAAAACATATTTACTCGTGTGTATCACATATAACTATGCTGTAACACGTATAAAACTATACACATTGTTATTTATAGCTGCAGTGTATCTAAAGAAAATGAAAGCGTTAACTAGTAGCTACGTGTATTAACACGGTCTGTTAATAAACGAAGGAATTTAAAATAATAATGCATCTACGTATACGAAATAATAGTAATAAAGTTATAGGTGACTTATTGGTCACGTCTGTCGGTTACTGGTAATTTATTAACTTTATCCCCTTACGAAGTGTACTATAAATGTTTATTAAGACTCTCAATATTAAAATAATATAATTATAATCGTTTAATATCATATATATAATATAATGTAAGTATAATATTTTAAACCAAAAAAAGTTATTTATGTAAATATGCCTGTGCATGATTGCAATTTATGTACATGTATCGAATGTGTATCTGTAATACTGCAAGAGGGTAAAAAATATAGTTTTCAAAAATATATCTTAACACTTTGAATGTAGATCAAATAAAATTATCCGGAAACGAAAAAAAACCCAAGGCTCTTCCCGCTGTTGACAAGGTTAAAAATAAGAGGTTTATTTCTCTTTCGAGCGGAGAATGTACCTACTAATACATTCCAAATATTTTATTCATTTTAAATTATAATTTATGAATAATCAAAATATTTTAAATCCTAAGAACTAATATGATATTTAGAGAAGTCCAATATTGAAAAATTCTATTTCTCGACACTATTATTCATAGAATTAAATATAATTTCAGAATAGAAACGTTTAATAATAATCACGTCTGGGTGACTTGGACGGTGGAACGCAAAGTGTCGAATATAATTTATTATGTAATGAATAAACGAACACGAGAACATAGTTTGCATATACAAAACGCCGTCTTATGATTTGATCGTTTATATCAATAATAAAATTATTATCGAAAAGATTTAAACATCGAAATTTCAGTATGAAACAACATAATTATATTATTAATAAGAATATATTTGAATAATAATAGACATTTATTTTAATTTTTTTTTATTTATCAAGGCTCATGTACACAATTAGTTTGGTATAGCTCAAAACCGGTATAGCACTATATTTTTTTGTCATGTATTATTATTAAACGAGCAAGGCAACGTTTTTTTTTTTTTTTTTAAACCATGATGAAATGTAAAAACATTTTTGAAAATAATTTATTCAGACATTTAAAATTATGCTTGTTTAATATATCCAATGTTTACGTTCATGTTACTAGGAACTAATATTTTTATTTATTTTTTTTTGTCACACAAAAAACAAGGAAATGCAGAACATGTTCGTTTTCACAGTCAACGAGTTTAGGAAAAATAGTTACGAAATAGCGATTATTACCTCAATGCTGTATGACTTGTTGATGGCGAACATCTCTCGACTCTTTTGGGCTGCTGCTACTGCCATTGTATCTGATTTTGGTTTCTCGGTGTTGACTTTACCAAAACTGTGTAACAAAACGCCGTAAGCTCCAAACTCCAGTGTAAATGATCACCAAGAAATATCGCGGTGCGCGACGAAATCGATTTTATCGGCGGATAAAAGAAAAATAACAATAACGGTCAAAGCTGATGTCTCGGCTTGATCGCGGGTCGACAACTCGTCTAGTTTCGTTTGAGTGGTTTTTTTTTACTCTGCTGTGGCAAGAGTTACAAAATAGCCGTATAGTGGATCGTTTCTGACGGATCGGAAACGGTTTTCACAGGCTACTAGATTTCCTCTCGAAATCGACAACAGGCGGAAACGGTATGTATGCGATGTACGACTTCTGCCGGCTTGCAACTATTACGTATACGACGACTGGGGCGTGCGTATAATAACGATGATGGCAGGTGCGTAGTATATACCAGATCCGGTTTAGGACTTCTCGGAATTTTCCTTGCGCTGACGGAAAAATCGAAAAAACTGAATGTCGGTTGTACAGTAATGTAGTCCTCTATTTGTCGCTATGTGTGCGGAGAACCCGAAACAATTACGAGTATGTTTACGTCGACCGGCGGAGAACGCGCGTCACACGTGCACTCGGATGCGAATGAAAAGACAACCCCGTACCGGCGGTCCGGCTCCTTATATAAAGGGACATCGGCCGAGCGCGCGCGTCGAGAGTCCGCTCCCCTCCGTCCGGATAGACCAACGTCGACCGCCCACCGATCGCCGACCGCCGCGGCACATGACGCGACACGCACGTACGCCGCCCGATGGGAATTTCCACGGTGCCCCCCCCCCCACCACCCCTCTACCCACCCGCGCCAGTTGCCGACGATTTCCATCACGCCGCCGCCGCCCCACCGCCACACCCTGAACGTTGTCGAATAACCTTATGGCCGTCGTCGTCGTCGTCGATCGGACTGCGATGACATGCTGCACGGCTCACAATCGGACCGAACGTCTCGCGGCTTTTCTTACTGACGCGCTCGCGATACTTGACAATATTATTATAACATTGTTACGTATTTTATTATACCTCCAAAACACTCGTGACGTGATTTATTTACGATTTTGTTATTTGTTATTGTTGCGATTGTTGCTGTATTGTCGTGTGAACAATACGATCGTAACATGTGCATGTCACCGTGGTATATGTATATATATATATATATATATATATTATATATACATATAATGTTCATATATTCATATAATTATACGTATATACGTGTATATATATACCACGGGTTATTATAATAATAAATTATAATTATAAACATTAAGTATTTTCGTGCGTATATATATATATATATATATATATATATTATTATATTACAAGACCGTCGTGTCATCGTCGATTTTATTGTCGTCAATTTTGCGGTAATCGATGCACGCCAATACGTTAATAATATATTATTATAGTTATTACCATTATTATTATTATTATTCCATCGCCGACCGCGACGCGTTCCACGCGCGAGATCTCGGCGTCGCGTAAATGCGTAATACAAAACCCAATACTGTTCGATACGTTATGCTGTTTTATGATGTTTTCCTCGCGATATCGTAAAAATGTTTTAATACTGTAATAATATAAACACCGAGTTATTGGAATTATTCATTAGTCGTATAAATACGTATGGCACACGAAGCTTAGATAATAATATATTCATTTCTGTAGATAATTTGTTTAAGTATTACCTACGTAGGTACGTATTTTTTCCCGTTTATTCACTTATTCGTTTGGTTGTACAGTATTATAATTATAATAATCATAATAACCAATATTGCCGTTGTTGTTATCGTTTGTTATCGTTTTTAGGGAGGTAATCTACCGGCTACCAGCAGCTACCTATTGATTGGCTATTAAAAAACTATTCTAAATTTTCGAACGATACTATTAAAGCTATTTTATATCATATAACATATTATTATATCAAACATTAATGTAAATATATAATACGTACTCGTATAGAACTGTTTAGTACAGATTTCATTAATATTCTGAAAGTCAATGTAAATTTTTAGTAAAACCTAACACTGAATATCATTATTATTCATGGGTGGAATTCAACTTCAGTTTTCGGGTACGCTTCCAATAGTATAATAATATTATTATATTTTCACGATCACGGAGGTATTCTGCTTTTGAAATTTTAAGTAAACAAAAATAATTACGTAAATTTTTTTCGTATAGACGCATAGTATTATAATATAATTACATAATGTATGACTAATGCATTTTATTGAATTCAAATTAAATCGTGTAAGTTTATTTTACCGATTATAGTGTACTCTAAACGATTATTTCCTGAAGTTATGACAAAGTATCATCTTTATATCCATGTGTTATGATAATGTTTTATTTTTATTTTTATAACGTAGTAATATTATTTGACAAATATTTTTATCAAGGTCCATGTTTGATAGACACATAGGATATATATAGGCAAATAGCTATAACTCAATTTTTATGAAGGCTTAGAATCAAATCAAACCATTGGTTTAATTATATTATTTAATTTTGGTTTTATGTATACTTTTATTACATGTCGTCTGTATTATGTTGACTTAAAATTGACATCTTAGTTGGTACTTAGAAGATTGTATTTTAAATATCCTCAATCATTTGTGAGAAAATTCCGAAATCGAATCGAACCATCAGACATATTTATTTTGGTTACTTTTTTATTATTTAAGACATTTTAACTCATTGAAGCAGAAACCTTCGCTCGTTAAAGACACTTAATATTTTCATTTATTATTACCTACTTATACTAGAATTTTTTATAGCGTATTATAACTTTTGTGAAATGTTTTCCATGTTTATTATTTGGTATGTGTAACTATTAAGTATCTATATTCTATACAATAGGTAATACGATATTAAAAATCTCGGAATTTTGCTACAAATTTTGAAAAATTGAAAATTAAACATTTAAAATTTTAAAGTTTGACTAAAATAGAACTTATTTATTTGTAATAACTAATAATTGATTACTTATAATAAAATGAACAGTTATCTGTATCAGACTTTCCGTTTTAAAATATGGTAAATTAAAGTTTTTCGTATTGTAGGTATTTTTTTAAATCATTTATCAGCTATATATTAAAGTATTATGTACCAGGTACATGTATATGTAAAGGTTGTAATGGATTTTGATCACAATGATTTATCATATATTTATTTTATAACTATGTAATATAAAAAATTGGCGTATTCATACATTTTTTGGCATACAACTTACGCGTTTAATGAATAATCTATTTATTATTTGTATTTTTGCATAATATCTGGCAGAGCAGCATTGCTGGGTGAAAATATTTTTATTGCTATTAAATATGTAATTCAATACTCTAATTAAATCTTATATCAATCGTAAATAAATTATGAATAATTTATTCTGTAATAACTATAACTATATTACAGTATTTACATATTAATATATTATGATATCACTAATAGTCATCAGTTCTATAAGCTACTAAATTATTGAATGTGTTAATAGATATTCTTTTGGTATGTTAATTATTTCAATATATATTATAATCAATTGTATTTCTAATTCATTTGTAAATAACAATAATCGTTTTGTATTACTATAAATGTAATATTTTTGTTTTATTTTTGTACACAACAAATTACGTAAATACAAATGTATACTAAACATCATCATCAACATCATCATTCATAAGTCAATAACAATACTTATAATATAAGTGTTTATTATATGATTTACTTTAAAGATAAAATTAACACTTCTTTATATTCGAACAACATTATTTGTATAATACATTGATACAGAGTATTATTATGTTTAACAAGTTATATCATATTAATATTTCTAACTAAATACATAGTTGAATTTTTAAAATCATTATATGTAAGTAAGTAGGTATATTAAAATTAATTACGTATCTATATAGAATTTTGGTAGTATATATTATTTATTATATTTTGGTTCCATGATTGTTTCTTAAGATTTGATATTATAAGTTTAAAAAGACAGATCAGGATAAAAAACCATGTGTAAAGAATTATAGCCTCATTTCGCTAACCTTGATTTGAGATATTATAATGTACATATTAAAACTGTACATTTGAAAACACAAAAAAAAAATTTCCGAATGGAACATGTTTATAGAAATATTATTTTTATGTACGAATGATTGTTTATTTCACTATATTAATATTAAGTTTTGTAATTATCTCCAAATTATTGAGTAATTCAAACAAATGGTTTCTTTTCTGTAGATATCCTCCGAATTCATTCAAAGTTTGCAATTGCTAATATTAAACTTACAACTAATCCACAATGATAATTTTTTTGAATGAGCAAATCATTGTAACTTTTGTGACCAATGTTTCAGAATTCAAAGTGAATGAATTTGCACAGAATGTATACAATGTACGAATATCTAAACACATCATTTTGTTTAAATGTCTTTTATAGTCTTATAAAATTACCATTTACTAAATTTTTTTTTAAATAGTTAATAATCCAAAACAATGCTATTTCATAAATACATATAAAAAAATCCACCTGTCACGTGTATCTAATTATTTTGCTTTTATTACTTTGAAGACAAAAAAAAGCACTACCGTGTTTATAAAAATATCGCAAATGCAAGGCCAATAATTATACATATAAATATATATTGTTTATATTGATTGAAATTTTTAGATTAGTCATAACAATACGTATCATAAATCATGTAACTATATTATTACATATATGTCGGGTTCCATTATACTTCCATGTGAGAGTTTGACTAACTGAAGTCGAGGTCTCAATGGTCATGCACTCTCGTGTCTCAAATCTCAAAATACCATTTGTTCGTGATACCTCGTATCGAGGTTCTTACCTCGAGTTTATAGTATACAAATAATAGACAATAATAGTAAACTCACTACCAAGAATTTTTTAAAGTCTAAGAAAAGCGAGAACGTATTTAATATTGAATGTATAATATATGTACTATTTTATTTCACCAATAAGATTTTGATTATTCATTTTTTTTTTTTTTTTTTTTTTTTTAATTCAACAATATTTATTTATGCAACAAATCCACGTAAGAGGTTGATGTAAAGATGTACATATTGATGTAAAAATGTTTATAACATTCTAAGTTCTTTAAAAATTATCAAAGAAAACACATTATAATATAACTTATTGTGGAAGTATTGTTTTGACGTTTGGTAAGAGCCATGCGGTGAATAGTGATAGTGGATGTAAATTCAATAAATTCATTCATCCGTCATTATTAGAATTTAACCATAAAATATAATTATATTTAATGTTTACTTTTATATAATTGAAACATATTACGTTTTAATTTGAAATAAATAACTTAGTCATGACAATATTGATTTTTTTTTTTTTTTTTTTTTTAATAAATCCAATTTTTTCCAGTAAATTTAGAATCTTAGTAACAATTTATTATTATTATTTATATATTTTAAGTAATAATACACCTTATAAATATAAGAATATATTATTTTTCACTTAAAACTACGTTGATTGATATTTAAGTAAATTCAATATAATAACGAACGGAAAGTAGTACAACTAAACGTTAATAATTGGTTACAGTATACCTATATATTGTATACTTAACAAAA